TAAAAGTGAATTCTTTCCTATGCATATATCATTTGTTGATATATTACATATTAAGAGAACACCTCGACCATTCTTGATTTCGTATTCTCCAGGTAGAATATAAAACTCTTTTCCAGCTGAACCACGTAGCGATCCGATAACGCAAATGTTACAATCAATGTCCGTATTGGCACATACTTCCACCGTTTGCAATGCATTACTAGGAATATTGGCGATGTTTTCAGTTAATAAACGAATTTTGTTATGAGTTATCCTTTGGAAGATCAATTTACTAGGAGTTTTGATAATCAAAATATCAGATTTTTCTGTAAATGAGTGCCCCAACAAAACTGGGTGATTAAGAACGTAATCGTCAACTATGTAAAGCTCTATATCCTCCGTTAAGCCTTGCACTGTTACGGAGGCTAGCGCTACGCCTAATGGTCTTACTAAGTTAGACCCTATCCCTTTTAGTACAGGCAACTTAGTTTGGGAATTAATGTCGAGTCCCATAGTTTCTGCATCACTTAACCTAACTAAAGAACATTGACTCCCCAAGTCAACGTAACAGGTTGTAGAAAATCCGTTAACTTTTATGTTGATTATATATTTATCACAGGGGCAAACACCTAAAGTTACTTTCGATACGTGTTTCTCACATTTAGAATTACTAGAAGTTTGACTATTCCTGTTATATCCCGGCTCAGATGCTAATTTCTTTCTAAAACAATCGTTAGATTTATGACCTAATCTTTCACAAACTGTGCATTTTGTAAGAGGCGTATCGCGCCTAAAGCTAGGATGCTCTATATCGCTACAGTTAAAACACCTAATATTATTATTGAATGAGTCAGATTTAGACGACCCGGGTCTGTTTGACGCTAGCGTAACCTTACGATCACTATGATTTTGTATTGGTGCGTCGAAGCTTGTTCGCGTTTGGCTTGTTTTGACAGTCTTAAAATATTTAAGAACCTGCTCAGGCTCCGAGAAATGGGCGGCCTGAGCCCCGACTTTTGTAGCACAATTCTCAACACCGTAAAGAAGGCAGTCCACAGCTTGTCTACCGAAAATTTTATAGCGATTTAATAAATAGATCTTTGCATAGTAGTAGTGCTCCAATGACTTGCCGTATTTTACTTATTTAGATAATATTTCAGTCAGAAGCTCGGCATAGTCTTCGCGACAGGGCAATGATTCTATCAAGTTCTTTTTCCACTCGGGTCATGTATACAATAGTGGAGGCAAACCATGAAACTAGGTCTTGGCAATACCACTAAGCTTAGGTAATGAATAATGAATAATTTCTTTTTCATCCCAGTTATAAATTTCCGCGCACCCTTCTACTTTGTTTATCCAAGTTAAAATAGTTTGCTCTTTCGACAAAGGGTCAAATTCCGGTATGACGTTAGTGTTGAAAACAAGTTAAGGCCTATCCGATAATATTAGTACCTGGTTCCTTACTTATACTCCTTTGCCGCTGACACCTAGTATGCTGTGAGGCGCCATCCTCCGAAGATGTCAAATGATCGCGCTTCCTCTTACTCTTCGATTCCAATCTATGGTGAGTTGACCGTTTACCCCTTTTCTTTCTTCCATCATTTCCATCCTCACTACCAGACTCATTAGTCTGATACCATGTTTGGACTCCCTTCCTTGGTCGTCCTTCCTCATCCTTGGAAAATTCCTGCTCTATCCTCGAGCAGGGAGTTTTCTGTATCAATACCGGGCTGAAATTCCGTCCTTGCACCTCTATCCTGGGCGCTCCTTGATTAGAAAGATGCGCCAGTCCTTCTCCTTGACTGGTCGCATCATCAAGTCGGATAGATGCGCCAGTCCTTCACCTCGACTGGTCACATCATCAACTCCTTGATTAGATAGATGCGCCAGTCCTTCACCTCGACTGGTCGCATCATCAACCCCTTGATTAGATAGATGCGTCAGTCCTTCCCCTCGACTGGTCGCATCATCACTAATCTCATTCAACCCTCTTCCTCGTGTCATTCGTCCTTGCTCTTGTTCTTGAGCAAACTATCCTGGGTGCTCCTTGATTAAATAGATGCGCCAGTCCTTCCCCTCGACTGGTCGCATCATCACTAATCTCATTCAACCCTTACCTCGGGTCATCCGTCCTTGGTCTTGTCCTTGACCAAATTATCCTGGGTGCTCCTTGATTAGATAGATGCGCCAGTCCTTCCCCTCGACTGATCGCATCATCACTAATCTCATTCAACCCTTACCTCGGGTCATCCGTCCTTGGTCTTGTCCTTGACCAAACTATCCTGGGTGATCCTTGATTAGATAGATGCGCCAGTCCTTCCCCTCGACTGATCGCATCATCACTAATCTCATTCAACCCTTACCTCGGGTCATCCGTCCTTGCTCTTGTCCTTGAGCAAATTCATCATCCATAATAGCTCCGATTATCTGAAACTTACAGGTATAAGCTTAGAACTTGTCCAGAGATTTTCTTTTAAAGTACATAGCAAATTATTTCTATAATTAGAACCTGACCTTCGTTGTAAAAGTTGCACCGTAAATAGTTAAGCTGTGTAGGTTATTTTTTTTATCATTATATTTATTATTGGTACAGATTCATCATACTGCAATAGTTATAACATTAACAAATTTATTTCGTTTTCATAATGTCGTGTATTATCAAAAGAAACAGAGTTGCATTATCAGTATTACGTTTTTTTAATTTTCACGACTTATACGAAAAAGACGGTAGAATAATAAAAAAAAAAAATAATCGTATAAATGATCTATTTCATTATTCCTCAAACTTTAAAATCAACAATTACAGTTATACTTAGTAGGAAAATATGCGAAATATCAATTTATATACACGAAAAATACTTACATTATTCGATCGGTGCACGTGGCAAGATAATTAAATATGTATCTTGTTTATCCCACTTCTGAACTGTTGTACCATTTCAAGATCAGGTAGAAAATATAAGGGTTGATTCCAACTATTATACTTTATTTCACTTTCTACAATACTATCTCGAGTCCAGGTAGGAAACAAACGGTAGATTCAAACTATTACACTTTGGTTCACTTTACAATTTAAACTTATACAAAATTCAACTTCACTTCACGTCTTACTGCGACGATTCGCGTTGAGCTAATGCCACTCTCCATTTTACTAATCAACCTTTAGCACTTGTTAGCAAGGTGGGGCGGCGTCATTTCCGCCCCACTCTTTTACAGCAATCAAAACATTATCCTTCCGGTTACATTATATTACTCTATCCATTATCCGCAATCATTAATGTAAGTAACTAATAATTATTATAATATAAAGTCAAATCACTTATCGAGTAATTCCGTTATAAACAATAATATAGTGGTTATTAATCTAACAATAGCAATTATTAACCTAACATTTGCATACTAACTGAACTTACTACAAGGCAGGGCTTATGTTTTTTTTAATTACCATTATTTTCACTGTAAAAAGAAATTCTCTAAACCATCGGCGTCCTGAAGCTTGTTCCTTGCCGCCCAATAATCCCACTCAGTGTCGCTTCGGCTTTCGAACAGGAAAGCTGTGTCGCTTACGATCAGAATACACATTACCCAACAGGACGACGTAAAATTAAAATGGGAAATAACCGTAATAAAAATAAGAAGCGACTGGGTTGTTGTAAAGAAACAGGCATAAATATGATAAACCCAGTGAAATAAATATCTAACAACCTATTTACTTACAGTATTAGTGATCACAAACATGTCGGTATATAGCATACGACGCGCGGGGAAGTGGGGGCGAAATTAGAATTTGAGCTGAGGTAGTTTAGGCCCTTAATTGAAAATTAAGTTTTAAATAAATTCTATCAGTTTCTAGAGTATTATACTAATATACGAGACAAAGCCTCAATGGTTAGCTCTTTATTTTTTTATTTTTTTCATTTTTTACTCATTTCCTAACTTTTCGCTATTTAGGAATATCCGTAGTTCCTTCCAATCCAATTAATATAAAATATAAATAATATTACAGAAAGGAACATATACCATTCACAAAAATCGTAATAATAAGACAATAAGTCGCATAGACGCGTGACCTTGTCGCCGCTATGATGTGTTGACGAACATCATTCACCATTTTGTGATTTAGTTGCGCGGGGAATTTCGTACGTGAATTAATGTTATTATAATGGTGAACTGCGGCATAATTAGTTGCAAAAACTCATCAAGGTCGTGTAATTCTACTAATAAAGGCATAAAAAACAACTTACCGATAAAATAAAGAATAACATTTTATCGGTAAGTTGATTATTTACTAATTATCATTGTTTTAACTAATTTACATTCAGATCCATACTTTACTATGATATTTACCTTTGTAAACTTTCGTTTATTATTTTTCTTGTTGACAATTTCCATTGCTGCTTTTGTTCTACCGTAATTCGCGACGAACGCGACGTTGACAAACTCGCCGAGCAATGTAATGTGCAACATTAGATATCATTGTGCATTGCGTATGTTTATAATACGGCTGCAGGCATCGATCGCTTAATGCGTATGTGCTAAGATGTGGCGACATCGGTTTTCGAAGTAATCGATCACTAATTTATTTCTATTGTCTTATTATTACTATTTCTGTGATACCATTAGATTTTCCTAAAAAATTTACTTCCCCGCTAAGAAATCTGTTAAATATTTCACCTCACTCCAAAGTAGCGCCGCCCTGGTGGCAGAAAAAGTCGTGGATGCCCTCATTCAGAGGTTATTATTAAATATGTACTGTTGAATAAAATAAGTCAATAAAAATAATTTGTCATAAGTATTTTTAATTTATGACGTCTTTGATTATTTTTAATAATAATTTTTGGATACTTTTTCATTCATTTATTTTTTAATCCTTAATATATCTCTATAATATAATATTCTATATTATTGTAAAATTATCATAACTAAAAATGACTGTATCAAATTATAGTTTTTAGTTATGATAATTTAATCGATTTTATAAGCCATACAACTTGGACGACTAAGATTGACAGTGATCTTACCTCCTCGCATAGCTGCATCATGCGCCGTGTGGACTCCAATGACTGAAATTATATAAACATTTTTTTTCAATAATTAATTATAATAGTACACTGACAAAATAATTAAGTAATAATTTAGAACCTTTATTACATTGGCTACTTTTGGTCTATATTTTTGAAAGTATATAAACATTTTTTTTGCAATAATTAATTCTTATAGTACTTAACTAACAAAAATCGAATAAATAATAATTTAGTACATATAAACTAAAAAGGATTTTATTTTCGCCACGGTAGGTCTATATTTTAAACAAATTTATCCAATTTTCTGTGTATATATAAGCTGAGTTCATTCTATTTGTAAATCTTTATCAGCCTGTATAAATCTTGATATAAGTTTTTTTCAGGTTGCATCAACTGAAGACATTAAACGATTGGCCAATACTCTCCAAGCTGGGCAGGTACTTCCTTTACACTTGCACTATCAATGCTGCTTTTCATAACACTAGTAATATTGGATTTGGGTTATTTTGGAGTAGATATCCCAAACTTACTAAAGTTTAATTTAAATACTACCAAATGCTTCATATGAAACCGTCAAGAAAATGCTGTGAGAAAAGCTGCACTTTTCGTCTTATGTCAGTAGCCTGTTTTGGTTTTGATATTTTACATCTTCTTTTGTAAGATCTAATTTTCATGACATTGAAGGGAAACAAGCGAAAGAAAGCAGTGTCCTGACCGTTATTTCTGACGTATGTTGCATGCAGATTGTAAGCCCATTGGTTTCATAATTCTCACTTCTAAAACATAAGTAAATAAGGAGGCCAGTAAGCCAGTGGCTGTCTTGTAGATAAAGAATATTTGTTTTCTGAAATATTAATCTCCACCTAGAGCGATATAACAATATATATACTACAATGTGCTTTTATTATAAAAGGTTGCCTGGAAGAAATGTTCTTTAGCGATAAGATCGCCCCATTGTGCTACTTTTTATTATCATTTTGTGTTGCACACCTCGAGCGCGAAGCTGAAAGAGGCTTTGCTGTCGGCTTGATAAGGTCACGCTGCCCACTCTCATTAAAATCGGTATATTTATTTTTTCCTCTCTCATTTTGTGGTTTGGCGTGTGCAAATTAATTATATATCTATCAATCTTTTATAGAAAATATTATTTACGAACGGATAAACATATATTCTACTCTATATATGAAAGGTATAATATGAGTATGACCTTATATATAGGTACAGGTTATTCTGCAATAAATATCCAAATTTGCAGAGAAGGTTCAGAATACGTTATATACGCAAATCGTAAAGAAAAATTAATTAAAAAAATCTCAAACATTCTGTCCCTTTCAACCCTTAAAATTAAAAATGTATGGTAATGCATTATGTACTGCGCACGCACTACATAATGCATTACCATACGTAAGGATCGATCGGTGGGCAAAAATGGTGTTGCCCATAAATCACATTCAATTTGGGATAATTTCTAAAAAAAAAGTAGCCTTACTTATTCGTATTTTCAAAAACTGCAATAACGGTATATCATTATTTATATATTTGAACTTAAGTTTTAAATTTGGCTACTCTGAAAAATAACCTCGTATATAATATAAGGTTAAAACTATTATTTACGGATTTTATCGCGTTTAACTACTTTAATTTATTTTTATTATTATCCCGACGTTTCGGGTGCTTTACAGCACCCATGGTCACAGGGGGGACTGAGATGTTTGACGTCCCAATGTCATAGTTAGTCCGGCTACCTTCAGTTTTTTTAATATTAATTTTTGGTTTTTTAATATTAATTTTTTCGGACCAAAATCGGACCAAAAATTAATAATAAAAAAACTGAAGGTAGCCGGACTAACTATGACATTGGGACGTCAAACATCTCAGTCCTCCCCGTGACCATGGGTGCTGTAAAGCACCCGAAACGTCGGGATAATAATAAAAATAAATTAAAGTAATTAAACGCGATAAAATCCGTAAATAATAGTTTTATTCAATGTGTAGTGTTCGCGTAAATTTAAGAAATCATTAATATAAGGTTTCTCTGGTTTTTGCTATAGTCGCCTCTTACGACACTTGCTGGACGAAATAGGGAAATCGATACTCCTATGCCTTCAACACACGATAAAGATATAATTTCACCCTAAACCATTAGGGAAAATATGATTTGAGGCTTATGAAGACTCAGTACCACACATAAAAATCTGTTATATGAGGCTTGTAAGAGATTAAAGTTTAAAATGACAATTTCATAATGCAATATTTGAATACTTTTTATCGAATTAAAAAAGGAGGAGGTATGTATTCAATTCCACTGTATGTTTTTTTTGTGTGTTACCTCTGTATAACTTTTCTCTGGGATCAAAAAAGGTTCACTATTTTGCCTATTTTGACTATTATACTTGACTATGTTGACTATTTTGAACTACTGACTATATTTGACTATTTTATAGTATCATTATTTTTTCATCTGAAAGCTGAAGGCTTTCCGTGTGGTACCATATAATTTAATCAAGATCTGACCGTATTTAATTGACTTCGAATACATTGATGGTGTTCTCATTTTAATTATACTGAAGTTTTGAATTTAACCACTTGTTTTTAACCATTTTTATACGTGGTAGAACCATATTGCACTTATATTATTGTTGTAGCACGAATGGGTCGGCTCGATCGGGTAAGGACTACGCTTTTACGGAATACCATTGAAAAATAACAGCTCAATGTTTCCTATGGGAGAGTAGAGAACCGGAGATCCTTCTTACTGGATACGAGGCATTCTATCTTCTATCTATCCAGTCCCCAAGGGTGACAACATATCCGCATTTCAATTCATAATCGAGGACAGATGTAGATGTCTATTGGCCAAAGTACCTACTTACCATCAAGTGGGCTGTGTGCTCGCTTGTCACAGTTATTCTATAAAAAAGAACTTTATGTATTTAGACGGACGCACTCGTATGTATTTTAGCCATTTAGTGTCGACGTCAGAGAATCCACAACACAATCCCACATCATATATACCGTGGGTGTCGTATAAGAGGCAGCAGGATATTCCTGGTAACAGCTGAAAATAACAACTAACCTTGGTTGCAAACCCTGCCGAGCGTGGCAACTATGGAAAACTATGGGGTAGACCCTGAAACATAGGCCTCCCCTAGTAGACTTAGTAATTGTGAAAAATGTGTACATGCTGACCTCATCGGTGACCTGACCGGCGCGCATCTGGAGCTGCTCGAGCTCGCTCCGCGGCGCGCCAGTTTCTGGGGGCACTGCTGCAGGCATCCTGAAACAAACAATATTATAGTTAGTAAGCAAAATTTCCAATGATGTACATTCAACAGCGAATAGTTGAAAGATTAAAGATGCAAGGAAATACTATGAGAAAAGTTTAAAGAAAGACTAAGATTGATGAAGCGATTATAAGGCTAAGTTCTCAGCCTATTATCAGACCCTTTTTTCTAGTAACGAGTCAATCTAGCTTATACTTTAGGCGTGACAATGTTTTTTGATTCCTGTTGATTGAGGGTAGACGTAGGCTGTCTATGGGCTACAACATCAACGTATCATCGAGCATGCGGCCACCATGATGGTAAGGGACTACCGCCGCGCATGAACAACTGCAACACCCTCATTTCCATTAATGCTGGATGCTGGATGACATTTGTTAAATGTAGTTGTAGCCTGGGCACAACTCCCCTCACCGGTCCGGATACTTTGGTTTGGCACATTATTAACATAATTGCAAAAAGAAGTATTCAAATTATAAAGTATAGTAAGTAACAAAAATAATTCTGCTTTTCGTCTGCACTGTGAAAAATTTGCCTTACTTAAATATAAGCAAAGGTGGTGCAGTCACGCTGCGGCTATACACAGCACGAATGGGTCTCCTCACAGAATACCAGTGTTACATAGCACATTTTTTTTAAAGAATATTAACAATGCTATAAACATTACTAGTATTCCCCTTAACCACTCGTGGTAAGCTTAAAATGCTTGTGTTATGAGTGGTTCACGCCAGTAGTCGAATGACGGATTCGAACCCACGACCTTTTTGAGTTCGCGGTCCGCGCCCGGCCATTAGGCTACTGTCGCTTATAAATGATTAATACTGCTGTTTCGTGTAGCAAGTGTACCTCCCCCCCCCCCAACAAGTTTTCGGCTGACCTGAACTGCCTCCTGGCGGCTCAGGCCGAGCCTACTTAACACATCCCTTAATCTGCCTTAGGAACACTTTTAAGCGGCTTTTCACCGCTTGCGCCCTCCTTTACATTCCATCTAAGTCCTAAGGAGTAAAGCCCGTTTACATTTTGATTCTTTATCGAGAATACATGTAGGTTTCACTTACCACCTAAAAACGTGTTGCACTTGGCATCACACAGTCCACCTGATGGTAAGTGGTTGCTGCGGCCCATAGACATCTACATCTATCCTCGATTACAAATCAAAATGCAGATGCGTTGTCTCCTGTGAGGACTAAGATGGAATGCCTCGTTTCCAGTAAAAAGGGTATCCGATTCTCTACACTCACCATACGAAACACAGCAGCATTAAGCTACTATTTCACGCTGGTTTTCTGTGAGAGCGTGGTCCTTCCCCGGTCGAGCCGACCCATTCGTGCTACAATTATACTATTAACTAGCTGCTGCCCGCGACTTTGTACGCGGATGATGTTGCTTACGCCAGCGACAACGGGGTCGTCAAAATCGAAGATCTAAAACGTCTGTTTTCGAATTCTAAGAGCCCGGGGACGGGAAAACAACGTGATGTGCGAGACGATTCGAGACGTTCCAGATCTTTCATTTTTGTAAGTCAACACGAAATGCCCATCAGATTAAACAACTTTTGCTAAGGCGTCATTCCTATATATGTTATAATGTCGCTGGGCTTTGGAGTTCCACAACAGGTGTTCCAGATCTTCAAATAACTATAGCTGTACCCTTGGCTTTGCCCACGTTCTCGGTCACGCGCAAGTCGTATCTCACGCCCCTGACTGCTCTCAAGTGATCGAGCAGTCTCAGAGCGGATATTCTGAAAACTCGACCTCTGATCCCTCTGTGTAACCGTTTCGGATGCGCGAGACAAATAATGATGATCCCGATCGATAGCTAAAAGCATTTCTCGTTGTTCCACACTTTCCTGAGATCGAGAAGCAGTAGTGCGGACTCGTTTAAATTCTAGTCGTAATTGGCGCTGCGTGCTAGTTTCTGCGGACAAACTTAGTGCATTACGCTCACGGTTAGCACCTAGCCGTTGTTAAAGCTCTGCGTGGGTTCGAGAGAAACTACTGCTACTACTAACTAACCTGCGCATCTTAAAAACCCTTGAGTTTCGAGACAGATTTGATCTTTTTATAAAAGGCATACCTAGATTCCTTCTTAATCCGATACTAACGATATTCAAAATAATGAAAAGTTATCGAATAAGTACGTAATAGTAGAAAAATAATAATTATTCGTAGGAAAATTAAACACATCAACCAACACAGACAACAAAGGTAACCCCCGTTTCTATAGGATGATAACTTAGAACCAAAAGTTTGACTTGACCTCATGATAGTGTAACTTGTTGTACCACCAATCAATCTGTTTAGTAATATTGGTGTGAAACTCTCCATACAATCAGATAGGACATGTAAAGTTCCCGGATTTCCTAATGCACATAAAAAGTGCAAAAATTAAACAAAAATTACGATTTTTCAAAACAATATTATGGGATTTATACTTGCACCATTTAATGCGGTAAACATTTTTGACGGTCGACATATTGTTAAACATCTGTTCCCTTGCAATTTATAATATTACTGCCCCGCTCCTTTATAAACATAGCGTGATTATTATGTTCCCAGAGTTAAATTTTTATTTTTATTTTAACTAATAACATATCATTTTGTGCATTCAATTACAGAGAAAAACCTTTTAAAATCAACATTGCTTACCCCCCTATAACATACGGCGTGATAATATGTAGCCTAAAGCCTTCCTTGGTTTACAAAGAACATGTTTGCTGAAATTCAAATCAATCTATCCAATAGTTTTGGCGTGAAGCCGTACCATACACACAGACAAACAGACAAAAATTCTAAAAAGTCATTTTTTGTCATCAGTTACGTTTTTCTAACAAAAGCCACTTATTTTTTCTCGAAAATACTCAATGTACAGTTTTTTTTCCGTTACTGTTTTATTATATGTATAGATATAACTGCAGCATGGCTCTACCACGTATAAGTTTAATGAAATACATCTTTATATTGGTTACGTGACTGCATTCGGTAACATTATTTTATTAATAATTATCTTCCATCTTAGTCCTCAAGGGAGACAACGCATTTGTATTTTAGATCCTTAATTGAGGATAAATGTGGATGTCTATGGGCCACAGCATCCACTTACCACAGGTGGACTGTGTGCTCCTTTGTCATCCAATGCTATAAAAAATCTTATTCTAAACTGCAATGCACCACATAGTTTTCTAGGTCAACGATGAGAAATTTCAAAGCAAGAACTTTTCCACAAGTTCGTGGTTAGAAGTAAATACTCGCATTAAACACGAGTTTAACCATGTGCACTAATCAAAATTTTCTTATAGAAACGGTTTGCAATATAATAACTTGCAAAGAGTTCACTCTAGAACTCTAGTTGAAGATATTTCAAACTACAGCATTGAAATATCAACTTCTGTTGACAATTTAAAATTAGAATACTGTTCACAACAGTATTTATTGTATTTTTATGAGTTAGACCGTGCATAAACAAAAAGCAATAAAAAAAATGTTAAGGCCCGTCACAAACTACATACGGAATTCCGTTTCTGAATTCCGAAAGAACGAACGGTTCGGCCATACACATACGGAATCCCGTTGTCCCAGCAAAATTTCGAACAGAAAACTACCATAGGTGTCTGACGGGTCTTTGATTTTATATGAACCGGCTGCGTTCGAAATCCCGAATCGGAATTCCGAAACGGAATTCCGTATGTCTGTGGGCCCTTAAATGAGAATATATTTTTCATAGGGCAGTGTTTCTTTTTCTTGTATAACCGTATAGTGGCGGTGCAAGAATATCCAACGTCCCATATCGTCCCGTGGGTGTCGTAAGAGCGGCAGAGGGAAACTGAAACATGAGATGGGCAGCAGCGTAACAAATTAAAATTATAAAGTACTGCGCTTGCCAACCCGATCGCCAAGCGTGGTTACTATGAAAACATTCTTCCTATGACGTAATTTATGGGAAGACCTATGTTCAACAGCGGACATTTGATAGGCCGTAACGATAACGGGTTTCCCCTTATTTGAATTGTTAGGTATAGGTATATTGTGAGGTATAGGAAAACATTATAACCAGCTAAACCAGCAGACGTTGTTATGCTCTTTCCGATAGGTGGCGCATACATACGGAATTGCGTTTCGGAATTCCATTCGGGATTCCGTTTCGGATTCCGATTCAGGATGCCGAACGCAATAAGTCTATATAAAATCAAGGAACCGTCACGCAACTACACGGTAGTTCTCCGTTCGAAATTTTACAGGCAAAACGGGTTTCCGTATGTGTGTGCCCGACCCGTTCGTTCCGTTTCCGGAATTCCGTATGTAGTGTGTGGCGGGCCTAAATGTAAATATGAAAAAAAATATTGAAAACTCGACCATAGCGGCACCTATCAGGTCTAGATTTTGTAATTTTTTGTTTTGGCAATAAAAACATCATGTATATTGTGAATATGAGTCACCGTTCTCCATTAATATAGAATTTATTAATACCCTGACTACAACCATCGTTTCGTCATAACAAATTAATACCGTATTGTGTAAATATGACCTCAGTTGGTCAAGTAATTTAGAAGCTACACGAAGTTTGTTTGGATGCTTTCCTTCAATAAAGCTGATTACGTTGCGAAAGGACATGATACTTTTTAATGTAAGGGCATTTATTACAAATATTAGAAGCAAAGCAGTGGCTACAGCTACAGTAGAGCAGTATATTGCGGTCACATTAACTTGACGCATCGATGGAATGCGAGGCCCCGCCCGCTAGCCCCCGCACTCCCTTAGCTCGCCCGGCAATCGTCAGTATGGTTAGCATCTCTGTTACACTGTTGTAAATGACGTCATCAAAGTCATGCGTCAAGTTAATGTGACCGCGTAGTAACTGTCCTCGCCAGCTTACTAAATGTATATGTTATGGCTAATCTTATTAAGAAAATTATAACATTTAACAAAAAGTAAAAATCGAATAAAACTAAATTTACGGATTTTATCGCGTTTATTTAACTACTTTTACTTATTTTTA